ATTTATCGTTTAAATTGTTAGCTTATCGATAAAAAAAATAAAATGATTAAAATATGATTTATAATGACAATAAATAACTACAATTTTCTATGAGAAATTCTGAGATATTTGAAAATTAAGAGTTAAATCGCGTTCATTTTTTGATTACAAATCGTTTTTAACGTTACATTAGACTCATAAAAAATATATGAATTTATTATATTATTTATTATATTATATTATGAATTTAATATATTATATTATTATATCATCATATACCAAATATGTCATTATATTACCAAATTTTATACAAAATAATAATGATAAATTATACTTACCAATATAAAGTGAGACTTGTCTAATATACACATTTTTATATAGAGAAATAGTAAAGAAATAATAAAAGCAAGATGATATAAATAATTACTTACTAAAGTAATTAAGAGTCTCCCGGATTTGGTCCGGCGATAATTTCAAATCAGTGTCGACAGATTTTAGGGCCGGTGATGGAATGAACCAATCAGCGTTTTCGTATCCTATAAATAATAAATAATAAATAATATCATATGATAAAAAATTATAATAAATTTAGATGTAAACAGATGCAATGTTATTGAGATAAAATAATGTAATAAAAAAACAATTACCAATTTAGAAACAAAAATTGTAAAAAATATTTTTTTTACTAATCAATAATAATTTTCAATATTCTTCTAAATATAATTATTGAATGTTTACTTCTAATTTACATAAAGTATATAATTGAAATAATCAACACTGTTGTGTAAATATTATGCATATATTAAATATGCGTATAAAGAGTTTGAAAAACAATTCATGAAAAATAAACTAAAAAATTTCTTATAAAAATTTTGTAATATGTATATTTATTTTATGCATTTCGTAGTAACTTTTAAATTATATTTAATGTAATTAAACTTTTTATATCTTTTTGTATTGTATTTATACATATTATTATTGCATATAAATTATATTAAATAATTTAAATATTTGTTTACAACTTTTTTTGTTTACAAATTTATCTATCATAAAGATTTTTTTTTTTCACATAAATATATTCGTGAAAATATAAATTTAAATATCATTTGATTTAACATATTTAATATGCTGAATGATATACATATCTTATGTCCTATTTACTTATTTATTTATTTATTTATATTTACCTTGGAATTGAGTAAGAGTGTCAGCTCGCAAACGGTACCTAGGTATTTGTTCTTCTAGCAAACTGATGATCTCAACTTCTGGTAATTCACCTCCACTGCAGACCTCTACAATAGATTTGATTTCATAATTATATTATTGGTATTAATTTATTTTAATAAATTCAATAATTCTATTTTTCATAAAAAATACTCTTAAAATTTTGTTTTTCCATACTTTGTTATGTATGTATCAATAATACTTTGTTCTTAATATTAAATTTTCATTGTCAACGATTAATTTTATATATTACATGTAAATTTTTAATATTTAAGAATTATTATGTAATAGTATTTATTTAGTGAAATATTTATTTTTAATTTTACCGTTAATTAAAAATTCTTCCATTTTTTATCGTTTTATTATATCGTTTTCACAAAATACATTTATAATATTTCCTTTAATGTTTTACAATATGTTTATGAGTTTTATAACTTTCGTTAAGCATTAATTTCTTTAAAAATTATTCGATTGGAAAATTTTGAAAAGAAAAAAAAAAAAAAAGAAATTTAACATGAATATTTATGTATTATGTTGTATTTATTATATTTATTAATCCGTTCGAAGCGAAAATATTGAAAGAAATGAAATTGCGAAGTAACAAAAGAATTTTCATTGTCAACGAGAACTGTAATTTGAGAAACACTGGCGTAATCGATTCTACTGCATATTGTCAAGCTAAATTAACTAGAAATACAAAGCCACTTATACCAATCTGATAGATAACTATGCTTGCTAGCAATAATGTGCGTAATTAATAGAGTGAATGATTTTTTCGATTATTTTTTTATATATCGATATAATAATTAATGAATCTTTTTTAATATGATTCAGTATGATTCAAATTAAGAAGAAACTTTCAAATTCTGTTTTAATGGTATTAATGCAGGCAAATATAAAAATTAAAAAAAATGATCTTCAATCTCAAATACATGTGCCTTATGTGTAATCTGAAAATGAATTAAATAATGGATTAATCATTAATGACACGATAAATAGGTATAGTTTATATATATTATTATAAAAGTTTGTAATTTTTTGTGATTTATAAACAAATATGTTTATATATCTGATTGTTTTTTATGTAATAAGTTATTATAATAAAGTTTAATATAATTATACTAATTATAAATTTACAATTATTTCAATTGAAAACATTTATTTTTAATAATTCCATTTTTGATAATATATTTAAGATATTTAAATATGTACTGTATGTAAAATATTAATTAATATAAATAATTGAATATATGATTTATTAATTATGATTTATTAATTATGATTTTTTATATATTTTAAATATGCTTTCTTCTAAATTATATAAAATATAGAAAATTATATATTAATTTTGATCATAGAAAAATACTTTTCATTTTATAAGAAAAGAAAAATAAAGTAACATTTATCACAATACTTTAATTTTTGAAAATACTTATAAGTTTATGTAATGTTGCTACTGCTGCCATCTAGTGGCACCATCGTGAAATAAAATATGTATTCAATCTCATTCGATAACATAGTTATCATTTATATCGTATAACGAGAATTTTTCAAAATTTTTTTATAAAACAAAATATACAAATTTAAGATTGATTAAAATAATATTATTGGAAAGAGAAAATTGAAATGAATGCTTTACAAAATTTCGTACCACTTCTCCATTTGTTAAGAATGCCTTCCTTTTTTTCAAGAATTTTTTTAAGTTTTGCAGGGCCATTGGGCCGATTAAGTTCACTGCTACCTAAGTACATAATCTTTAATTCCAATCAATTAATTTCAACTCATTTTATTTATGGTTTTTTATATTTTCTTGTTTAATTATATTTGAAATTTTTTTATCACATATATTATTTATTTACTCACACATATAAATTATTAACATATTTATATCATTTTTACATTTGTTTAAAAGTTCAGTCTGTTACAAGTATTATTTTATCTATAACGAATATACTATAAATGTATTACTAGGAATGACATAACTATATAAATAACGAATGACATAACTATATAAACATTAAATAGAGAACTTTCATAATACGGAAAAAATTTTGTTTTTTCACCATAAAAAAAAAAAAAAAAAAAAAAAAAAAAAAAAAAAAAAAAAAAAAAAAAAAATAGAAAATTGACAAAGAAACACGTATAACATTAATATATAAACATTAATAAAATGGAACACGCGCACATAATCATAATTATAATTTCATAATTGATAGTTATAAATATTATTTGTAATTCCACAAAACACTTTTAACATTTTCAGAAGAGAATTATCAAAATTTTGTACCACAACCGATAATTTATTTTTTATATAGATATTACATTGTTGCATAAAAGAAAAAAAAAAAAAAAAAAAAAAGGAAAAAGAAAAAGAAAATTAGTGAAATCAGAATTCTGGACAGTCGAGGAAACGATCACACGGATTCGCGAGTCGGGTTAGATCTTAGCGCTTAGACAGACGGAACAAAATAGCACAAATCTATTGGCTTGTAGCCAATCTCGTTTCTTTACGAACTCCAAATATATCAATCGAAAAAAAGATCGATTTCCATAAGTTTTTACTCTCGATAGTTTCATTCTTATTTTTTTATTTCATCTCAATGATAATTCTATGATTCAGACAATAATCAAACGTGTTAAATCTAAAATTTAAAAATCTAATTTTTATTAAACATCTGAAAAAATGATGTTTTTTCACACATTTTAAATATAATTTTCAGAAATTTTATTTATAATAAAAAAAATAATTTTTTTTTTATTATTATTATCATTATATAAATAAAATAATTGAAATCAATTCAAAGAGTTTCGAGTTTAAAGTTCAAATTATTTTTCAACCATCTTCTTGCAATAATTTATGAAAGGTCGAACTTCGTATTGGAAGATCAAAATTTTTTATTCTATTTTTATATATCGATTTAAACGAATAAAATTAAAAATATCTCTCTCTTGCTCCTCCTTGACCTCTTTTAAATGAAATTAAATGAGAAGAAATTTTATCTTTTAATCAGTTCATTCAGCAATGAATTAATTAATATAATTCAGCATTATAAATAAATAGATTTTAAGTACATTAAGGAGAACGTTAAGTGATCAATCCTTTATAGGTCGGTTATTTTTGAAGTCACGTAACAAAGTATGTTGGTTATTTCGGCATCACCGTCAGAATTGTAAAATTATCTCATCAGCTGATTCAAAACACCGTATCCGTTTCAGATATTCAAAACATTGCTTAACGATCATCGTAACTTGTCTCGAATTAATATTACATCGAATTCAAATTTTTCAAATACTTTCCAGATCTATGTTAAAACCCATAAAAAAAATTGTTCGTAAGATAAAATCGATATATAAAAATTTCTTTATCATCGTCGTTATCATAAATCGTTTCTTCACATATAGAAATATATAATATCGTTTGGTCAATTTTTTTTTTAAACAAAGATTTATTATACGTAGTTCGACGATAAGAAATATTATACGAATGATTATAATGAAAAAATAGATAACGATGACAAAGACAATGATGGTGATGATAATAATGATGATGATGATGATGATGATGATGATAATGATGATGATGATGATGATGATGATGATGATGACGAAGACGACGATAATGATGATGATCTTAACGATAATGATGATGATAATGACCGAGAAAAGTAATCATCATTTGCCAGCGGAGAATGTCGTTTACCATGGAGGTGCACAGACCACACCATAAAATACTCGTTCACGAGAACGGAGAGGATAGTTTCTTCTTTGAGTTCGCAAAGATTAGAGCACTTCCTTCGCGGGAATAAACTTTATTCGAGAAATTTTATTTAAATTTTATTTAAATGAATTCGGTGGCTTTATTAAAAATTAAAAGTTGAAAGTGCTATTTTTGTGCTATACGTGATCCTTTTTTTTTTAATAATCGGGAAATTACATATCTATGGAAAAGCAGGTAAGTCGTTAAAAATTATTTTTAATCATTTTTCTAAAAAGAAACATTTCTTCCGTGTGAATTTAAAATAAATTATGTAATGTACAAGCATTGTATATGTATTTTGCAATGTATATTTAGTAGAAAGACCTTAGACTTGAGAACAACTTATTTTTAAATACATCCGGGATTAATAATAAAAAGATAGTGGCACAATTTCTTGATATTCCAAATTGATAATATATATATATATAAATAAATTAAAAATGATACTCGATGATTTATATTTGCAAAAACTACGAAAACGAATTAATAATAATCGTAGAATAAATAATAGAATAAACAAAATATTCTTTAAATAAAAACTAGCTTATAATTAAAGTATACGATAAGATAAAGTAAATAAAGATAATAATAACAGTAAAGTAAGTAAAGAAAATTGGATTTTAAATGATAAGATTTTTGATAGAAGATTATAAATATAAAAAAAGAAAAATATAGATGATATATATCGTTAAATCATCCTATAAATATATCTCGTTTCAAGAGTCCAGTTTTAATAAGAAAAATAATGTCAAATCAATAACATTATACAGTCACATTTATATAGTTTACTTTCATCTATTATATTTTTACTATATTTTATTATATTTTATTATATTTTATTATATATAACCAAATATCATAATAGCAAATAATTTTTTTTTAATTACTTGTGCCAATCATTTGTTTATCAAAGTTGTCAAGATGTTCCAAGCAATTAACAATGATACAAGCTCTATTTTCAAAATGATTAAAGATAAATAAAAAATACTACAAGACGAACTTAAATAAACAATATATAAATCAATCTGAATATAGTTTTATATTTTTTTATATATTTTTATGCATTAATGTAGGAAATATAATTGCATATTTTCTTAAACTGTGTATTCTTGAGGGAAAAAAAAAATACTTCTGTCTGAGCCTATGAGTTAAAAAAAAAATCATAAATTTATAACAAATTTATAATAAATGATTAAAATTGGTCTTTCAAAACGATATTATGGGATGATCCATAGTAATATCAATACCATATGCAAAGAAAATTTAAAGAAAACTAACCTGTGATAGTCTCGACGTCTTTGGTTGTCGTTGGAGAGGGAGTGAGAGGTGTTGATATTCTGTTTTTTGGCGATCGAAGGGCCTGCAGGGTGGCCCTTGTCTTGGGCGAGACTTTCGATCGAATCGAAGCCTCGGGCCCCTTCGAGGCGGCATCCTCCACGGCGGCCAGCTTGGACGCTGTGGCGACGAAAGATATCGCCTCACCTTCCTTCATGGTCGACGAAACATGCGAGTAAACAAANAAAAAAAAAAAAAAAAAAAAACCACGTTACGTTATTTTCATTCTTAATCACTTTTTCATTTCCTTAAACGGAAATAGCCGATACATTCGCTGACCAATCGTGCACTGTACGACACTGTACGGACTGACAGATGTATCCACTACAGAAAAACGATTCTATCGAATCTATCAGCTATCGTCCAATTAATGTATATGTATGAAATTTCGCGATTCGATTCAAACGTTTATGTTTGTATTCTGTATCTTTTCGTATCATGTTTCGTATTAAAAGTTAATTTAACCTTTTGTTCAATATAGCTATTTAATTTTAATTTACGAACGATAATTAACGATAAATATGTAAAATTAAATTGCGATATCGATTAATCGTTAAAATCAATTTCAAAATATAATATTTCGAATTAATTTAATTAATTACTTTTAGAATTTTATTTTTTAATTTTTTTAATTTTCATAAAATAAACTGGTTAATGACTTGATTCTTTCTCTTTTTTTCTTATTTTTATACAAAATAATGTTATAGATGTTTTCAATTGTTATCTTTGTAAAAGAAATAATTGATTTTAAAATTCCATTTTCTATTTCATTTTAGATATATAAAATAGTATTACAATGAATAATTTTTCTAAGAAATATAGTAGTAATGAAATAAAAATAAAAGATTAACATGTACACAATGATTTTTATTTATGAAATAAATTTTTAAAGAATAAAAAAGAAACAAGCTGAAACATTAATAATAACAATAACAAAATTTTCATAGTTCCAATTCTACAGAATATATAAATTAAAATTAAAAAAGAAAAAAAAAAAAGATAAAAAAATTAAATATTTGAAAATTTGTAAAATTCTATTTTATTCTAATGATACTAAACTTGACTGCAAATTGAATTTAAGCAAGGATGAAGCGTTATAAAAGAATGAATTCAAACTATTAATACCGAAAAGTGCATATGTGCTGCATCCAATGTACTGTATTCAGTTATCAAGTTCACGTTACACATGTGCCTTATGTTTCCATTAAAGACTAACTTAAGCAAAACATTCACGTAAAATATGTATATAAGATATTTCAATACGTTCAGCATTATTGCATTATTATGAATTAGGATTATTTTTCGAATGATATTTTTGAATGATATTAATTTCAATATATTTTATTATATTTCAATATTTTATCATCACTGGTTCATTAATTATGTATATGTGTTCTTTTTTTAATTTTTTTTTCTTCTCTTTATATAATATTAATTTTTTAATAAAGATATCGAAGATATTGAGGATTCCATTGATTGTTATTAATTCGTAATTATATATGTAAAATACCCAGCAAAAATTTTCCGATTGATTTTATCAACGATACGTTATCACGCCCTGATAAGGAAATAAATTTGAACTTTTTCTTGGTGTACATTGCAAATGTCACGTATACATTATTTTATATGTAATATATATATATATATATATATATTGTGTTGTAATTTTTTAAATAATTTTTTAAATAATTATTTTAAAATAAATTTATATAAACAAAATGAAGTTATGATATCTAATCTAAGAAAAGATTTTAGAATATAAAATAAAATTATATTATAATAAGTTGAATAAACTAATTCTATTGAAATAAATTGTGCAGACCTATGGTAATGTAAAATTTATTTCATGTAAGATAATATTAAAATAGCTTTTCAATTCTTTTGACAAAGAATATCATAAATTTATGGAAAAATTTAATAATATTTTATTTGAATAAAAATAAAATTTTTGATGAAAATGAACTTTTTGCCACTAACTTTATATTATTATAGGAATATAAATATATATAATATATAAATATATAATATAATAATATTACATGCACACATATATATTCAAATAAATATTGATCTCTGATTTCTTTCCATGAACAATTTAATCAAATAAATCTATATTTAAAACATCCTTTGCTAATTTTATTTTGTTTTAAAGAATTCCAAAAGAAAAATCCTAGCACAGCATTATTCAACGTTCAATGTTATAGAATTTTATTCATATAATATAAAAATAACAAAACATTTAATTAATGTTTAGTCTCACAATGATTTTTACATTTTTCTACAAAATTTGTTTATCTTTACTTTTGTTTTTAGATATTTTTAGCTATAAAAAAAAAAAACTTACGAGAGAAAGAGAAGAAAGAGGACTATATCCACCGATTGATTGCGAATTTGCCATTGATCCAAAATTATATTGAAAGACTCCATCGTAAGTCAATTCAGCGTTATCCTTTTCACAAATTGAATTTTGAGGTTTTAAAATACGTTTAGCGGAATTTCGTCTTGCTTCCGCAAATGCAATCCCTCTAAGCAACATTTTTAATATAAATTTTATTTTATTTTAAAATTGTACTCCAATCACCTCCAAGAATATTTTTCACGACACGTTTGTCCGATTTTTGACATAAAAACTATTATACGTTGTTATTTTTCGGATAGAATTATCTTTCTTTTTTATATATAAAAAAAAATCAATTTTTTCAATTATTCAACAAAAATAATGAAAAATTAAAAAAACGATTAAGAAACTTTTTTGTCTATTTTATATTATTTTAATTAATTATTATTATTATTTTAATTATTTATTATTATTATTTTAATTATTTATTATTATTATTTTAATTATTTATTTTAATAATTATTATTATTAAATTCTAATTCAAATAGATTTTTCTATTTGTTTTTTTGATTTCGAATTATTCGAAATATAAATTGATAATAGAGATTTACTAGATCGATATTTATCTTTCCATAATTACACTAAAATTTTTTAATTAAATGTCTATAAAAAAATTAATATGATATTCATATAAAAATTAAATAGTATGGATAAAAATAATAATTTTCAAAAATGCTCAACTTTCACTTAGATCTCACTTTAAATTGAATATTTATTTCTTTAGAAATTAAAAATTATATAAAAAATTAAATATTATAAGGCAAAACAAATGATTTTTCAGATATTGTGAAACTTGCCAACTTTTAAATAACTTCTGAATACCTCGATCCTTACACATTAAACTGTCTTTTTCCGTTCTCGTTATCACTTGACATAAGTTGATAAAACTGTATGTACAATCATATTCAAAAACAAATTGATTTTTTTAACACTTTTTGTGAAACCGCACATGTATATTTACTTTCTTTATTATATAAATTATGAAAGATAAAAATATAACAAAAATATTTCAAAAAATAATAATTAAATTTATAAAAATTTGTAAAATTTGTAAAAAAAAAAAAAAAAAAATAGAGAAGAAAAAAAAAAGAAATGTACTGCTGATACAAAATTCAAAGAATGAATTAGATGTATCATAAATATTTTATATTATAAAATATTACCTTATAAATAATGAATGAAAAAATATTTAAAATATTATAAATAAGTTATAAAAATTAACATAGTTCATTATACAACAAAATATACATAAAAAAATAATTTTTAATGTTCTGTTTTTTTTTCAAAAGCTGTACAATTCTAATTCTAAGATAATTATGTCTATCCAGATTAAAATAACTGTTGTCTGATATAGTGTAACAGTTAGGTTAATCTATTAGTAACTAATATTACACTGAACCACTTATGAACTATAATTTGTGTATTATATTTATAAAGAATTACAATATTTTAATTCATTAAAAGGTAAGATATGTTTCTGAAATATCTTTAATTATATGTAAAACATTTTTTATAAGAATATTATATTAAATAGATATAATTTTGTATATTGTAATATATTATTTTCATTAACAATTATTTATTTAAAATTGCATATATATAAAGCATATTACATAAATACTCAAATTTTTGATAAAGAATTATCACATATAAAAATGTTGTAATGATGTAATCATTAAATATTTTTATAATGATAATTAAAAAGAAAATTATTTTAATGAAATATAACATATTTTATTAAAATATTATGCATTATATAAAATTATTATATTATAAAATTAAATTTTAAAAAAACAAATTATTTAAAAGTAGCCAATTAGTTAAATAGTTATTTTAATGGTTGACAGTTACATAATCAATTTAGAAGTTATTTAAAAACTCACCGTGACGTAGTATAAAATTTTTGGTTTCCAATAAGGAAACCACAAATGATCACCAAAAGAACACACTGAATAAATTCTGAAAACATAAAAAAAAATACAATTATGTTATATCTTAACAAGCAAATTCATTTTAATATTTTTTTATTAAAACATAATAAAGACGTATAAATTAATTTTTTTAATTCATTTACTATCAGATTTATAATATTTTAAAATGACAGAACAAAAAGAAATATTTATTAAAAAAAACATATTATACTAAATATAAAATATATTCATAAAGTCAATATCTTATCTTATTATAATATAATTAGAATAAAATTATAATTTAAATTTATATGAAATTAAATTTATTTAAACATAATAAAATATTAATTGAAATATAAATATATTTCAATATTGTAACTTTAAAAATATATCAAAAAATCTAAATAGCTTCAATTGATATTAATATCATAAAAATTTATTATCTTTTTTTTGATAAAAAAATTAATAAAAATATTATTTTTGGATTTAAAAAGAGAAATTAAAATTAAATAAAATTAATACAAAATTTTATAAATATATTTTGATTTTTTACATCATGATTTTGCCCAATTTTTTGTTATAAAAAATGATATTTATATTATACAATATAATGTTAATATTTAATATAAATTTATTATATAGTAAATAAAATTAATATAATTAATATTTACATATTTTAAATATATTTTTAAGACAAGTTTTTTTATATATTATTTTTAAAATATTTCATATCTTAATAAAAACAAATAAAACAATTCTTTTAACTTTTATATTTTAATTACATTGAAGCCTCTAACAAATAGGGTTTAAATAGGATGTAATTATTTCATATTCAAATATACACGAACATTCTAAAATAATTTCATTTATCTTATTCCATAAAATTAAAATCTAAAAGATATGTGAACAAAAAATATAAATGAAATTTCACCTGCATCAAACAAAATATAAAAGAAACTCATTTGAAAGGTTAACTCAAAGAAGGTTACAATCATCTCTCGATCACTATATATATATATATTAAAACAAAAGAAAATTTCATTATTATAAAAAACACTCACAATCATAATAAAATTTCCAAATTATTGACAAATAATTTATTATACTTGTTGTTAGTCAGAAAAACGAAATTCGAGGACAATGTATCGATTGAGTCGTCCGCAGTAACCTTTCAAAACGAGGTTAAAAACAATGATTACAATTTTTGCATTGAATTTTATTTTTGAATATATTAATTTATTCTTCTGTTAAATTTTAATGATAAAATATTAAAAATTGAGAGTGATATACTAAAAGAACAAGAAATTATAATTTAAAAAAATGGAAAAGTTTGACTTACCTGTCTTTCTGACATGTTTTTACTTGTGTCACATAGCTGTCAATTTTTTGGAATTATCATATTTTTGTAAAATCTATTACATTTATCTCAATAAAATAAGAGAAAAATTTAAAAAAAAATTATTTTGCGAATAAAATTCGGGCGTCCATGACGGCCCGAAACAGTTCGAAGCTACGAAGACGATCATATAACGGGTGGTAAAATTTGGTTTAATCTGGAATACGACGGGAGTTGGAAAAACTTTCTGTAATCACGGAAATATTTTTTCTTTTTCTCTTTTTGTTATAATTAAAAATTTAAAATTTCTGCTCTTCGCAATATGTATAAATTTTAAATAAAATAATAATAATAATAACAATATTTTACATTATAAGGAATTAATATTAGAATATTATTACATGATTACAAGTTTACGAATATATTTATTTATTAATTTTATCTATTACAATTTAATTTTAAATATAATAAATATTCATATTCTTTTATATATATATATATAAATAATTATAATAATAGTACATAAAACATATTGTATATTTATTTATTTAATCTTAAAGCGAAAATATTTTATTATAGTTAAAACATTTTATTAACAATATATAATTAAAAATAATATATTAAAAGAATGATGAAATGAATTTTAATTGATTTATAATATTTATTCAATATTAACAATTTTATTTTTTTCCTGTGTTTTAATCACATAAGCAAGACATTAAAAATATTATATTTTACAAATTTAAAATTTAATAAAAAGTTATTATATATATATATATATGAAAGAATATATGTAGAATTTTATTTTTAAATATTTTAATTTCTTTCTTGTAAATTTTAATAATTAAATGTTAAAAGGAAAATGACATACTGAAAAAATAATGAAATAAAATAAAAAAATAAAAGATTTAATTTATCTGTCTTTTTGTAATTTTTTTAATGCATTTTATAATTGTCAGTTTATTGAATATATATATATATATTTGTATAGTATTATAATTTATATAATAAATTAATAAAAATATCGATTATCTTAAAAAATGATTTAAATTTAATAAAAATTACTAGATATCAATTTAATATTTTGCATTTTTAATTGAAATTTTTATAAAATATTTTATATATTTTCTTAATTTTTTAATATTCAATAATAACTAATACTAATCGTATTCGTATTAAACGTTAATCTAGATTTTTTTTAATCATTTATTCTTTAATTTTATATTTTAAAAATATATTATTTTAATAAAAAAAAAAGGAAAAAATAAAGATTATAGAAATATCTAGGTATATTTCTAGTAACTTGATAGGATTAAATTTTTTTTAAAGAAAAACGTAGATCAATATATTAATTGCAATATAATTGAAAATATAATAATTTTATGTTTAAGAAAATAAAATAAATATAATGTAAAAATATTATATATATATATATATATGTATATATATACATATATGTATATATATATATATAAAAATTACTATACATCAAATATATACTTCATTTATCTCTTAATGTTGGTAAGCCGTCTATCGATTCTCCCCACGTACACACCTCCTCTTCAGTCATCGATTGCACTTTTTGCACCTGCCATTTTTTTCCAGAGTAATGAGAGCCTCATCTCAAATCAGTAGCACGAGGGTGCAGTAAAACAGGCCTGACCTGCGAAACCACCCTCACCCTCTTCGTCTCAATGAATCTTTCATATTCTATATCTTTCGAAAATTTCTAAAGTGTCTCCTGCAAGAAAAAAAGACAAAGAAAGATACACTTGAGAAGTCAAAGTGTGCAACGAAGAAAGAACAACGCAGCCATCAGTAAGAAAGAAAAAGAGGAAAAAAGATAGAAGTAGAAGAAGGTGAAAGTAAGAGAGAGACGGACAGAGGGTGGGTGGTGGGGGGCTCTCGGTTTAAGAGAGAGGGAGAGAGAGGAGGTCGAAGGGAGTCGAGCGAGGAGAATGACGGATAGCCAGCAGCAGTTTTGCTTGCGTTGGAACAACTTTCAAGCTAATATCACCAGCCAATTCGAGGCCCTCAGGGATGACGAGGACTTCGTTGATGTCACCTTAGCCTGCGATGGTAGGCGTCTCCAGGCGCACAAGGTTGTCCTCTCCGCGTGCAGCCCTTACTTCAAGGAGTTGTTCAAGGTTAGAAAACCTTCCCCGCCTTGCTTCTCTCGGTGCTAGTTGTTCGATGTTCCCCCCTCCCTTCCCCTCAACCGATCATTCTTACCTTCTTTGAGACTCATGCTTTACTTTGGACGTGGTCGAAATAAAAATTCTTATTCATAATTCCCATGCATTCATCTCCTGTACCTACTAGTATGTCGTAATATACCTATATATATTCATATATAGTTTGCATGGGACATTATTTTTTGTTGGATGTTATTTATTTTCAAGTAATCAATCATAATTTATTTTATAGAATTCTATATAAATATAGATAGATAAATTTCAAATATATTATTCATATCTAATATATATTCATGCATATATTAGTAACAATTAAAATAAAAAATAATTACAAATCCACTTTATTGGTAATAGTACATAACTTTGATTTTAATACTTTTCATGTTATAATAATGCATTTATAATATTTATTAAAAAGATTTATTATTATTAACAACCATTAAAAAAATCATAAATATATTATTTACTTATAGTTTTAAAATTATAATTTTACATTAAATTAAAAGAAAAAAGTTATATTTTATTTCATAATTTATATTTTCTTTCATAATTTAGTAGTAATTTAATTTAGTTACATAATTTTGTATACAATAAATTTTTTATTGTTTTTAGTTTTTATTCTTTTAGACATTACTTTTATATTGTTTTTGCTTTCAAATATATAACTTTGTTTTATATTTATGTAAAATATTTAAATACATAATTCATTTTTTTATATTTGTATAATATCTTAATATATTGAAAATAAAATTATATAATTTATAAGAATTAATTTATAAGATTAATTTATAAGAAATAAGCCAAAATGAATAAACTATTAAAATATAATATTAATATAACTTTAAAGTTTCTTGAAAAAATCATGTTATTATATTTTTTAATTTTAGTATTAAGTAAAATAGGAATATAATAGAATGCTATTATAGTATCTATAAAAATATATATATTAATAAGATCATATTATATATTAATTAAAATTTTTTGATTTTATACTATAATCTAAATAATAAATTAATATGAATTTTATGTTTCAAAAAAAACTAATTGAGAATAAACATATACAATATATTTATGTAATGAACTCATATATAATAGTTTCAAAAATTAAAATTTAAAAAACAATTAAATATAATTAAAATATATTTTAAAGTTATTTTAATATAGTAAATTTTAATATTAAAATTTGTTATAAATATAATATAAATTAAATACAAAATATTTTATACTTTTTGTTTGTTAAACAAATATTTATTATACTAATTATATATTTATAGACAAATCCATGCAAGCATCCGATAATATTTATGCGTGATGTGGAATTTGAACATCTACAGTCACTTTTGGAATTCATGTATGCTGGAGAGGTTAACATATCTCAAGCAGAATTACCTACATTTTTAAGAACTGCTGAGTCTCTGCAAATCCGTGGCCTCACTGACTCTCAAAATAATCAGCACAACAACGAAAAGGTTTGTTTTAAAATATATTATAAATAATAATTAATTTTTATTTAATTTCAATATTTAATTTAAATTTATATTGAAATATATATTTTGTTTCCCATTTCCTAATTTTAATTAGTAATAATAATTAATTAATAGAATCTTATCTTAATTATTTTAAGAAAAGAATTTTTTAAAAATCTTTTAAAAATATATTGGTATAATTTCAATTGCTTGTTTTTAGCATTTGAAGACAAACAATATACATGCATCAAATGGTCGTGGGTTGATCTCACCAAATTTAGAGGAGGAGCGTAGTAAAACTCCACCAACTTCAAGTCCTCCACCACTAAAAAGGCTGTGCAAACGAAGTGATTCGCCTCAAATATCTAGTCCAGTACCAGCTGCGGCGGCCTGTGCATCTGGAACACCACGCACACGGCCATTAATTGAGCCACAGGTTCAACTTGACTGTTATAAAGATCTCGATATTGTTGAGGTTGGTTTGATTTCTTTCATAATTTTATATCTATTAGTTAATATATATATATATATATATATATTACAATAAAGAAATAAAATGCAATATGGTTTAATAACTTCACATATTATAAATTCATTACAAACAAAATTGTAACTTTTTTAAAAGATATTAGATTTTACTGTATTTATATTTATATTTAATTTATTTATTTTGATTATACATTACATATTAATTTATTATGATTATACATGAATTTTATTGATAATCTAACATAAAACAAAATGTCATCAAATAATAAGAAAATACATTTAATAATATAAAAAAAAAATACAAATCTTGATTTATGAAAATATATAGAATAAAAAATATCTAATGAATTTATTTTTACAATTTTATATTTTTACTAAAATAAATAAATAATATATGTTATTAACAATTATTATATCGTAGAATAATCATAGAATTATAGAATAATCATAATTGTTCAAAATAATCATAACATAAAATAATTATTTTTTGAGAAAAATAACTATAGAAATTTTTGTATTTTAGCCAAAAATAGAATTACCAGAATATGGAAGCGATGATGATTGTTCTCCAAAGCAGGAAGTCAACACACTGCCAAGTGGCTTTCTTAGCCTTGATGGTGGCATGGAAGTTTTGCCATCTTATCCACCTTCTTATCAAGGTAATTTTAAATAATATTTTAATTCAATTTCAATCAAATTTTTATATTAAATTTATTTGCAAATTTATTTAAAAATAAAATAAAATTAATTTTATTCTTATTTTATTTAAAATAATTTTAGTACATAATAAATTTTAAACATTTATATTTTTCCAGGTGGAGGAGCAGGAGGAGGAGGAGGAGGAGGTGGAGGAGGGGGTGGATCATTAGAAGGTGGGATGCCAGGACCATCTCATGCTGGAAACACGGAGTTAAATCAAGAACAGCAAGGTAAGTGACTGCCCGTCCCAACCCTAATTTTTTAGTAGTGCGAGCACCATTACAAACAGCAACAACCTAGCCGATCATGTCGGACAGAATTTTTTGGATACGAATATAAAGAGGAAGGAGAAGGAGAGCCTCGGTTTGAAATGGTAAGCTCGTGTAGCTCGGTAGCTCTTGCTAGGCGGTAGGAGAGAAAGGGAAAGAAAGAAAAAAATAATGTATGTATGATAGAGTGTGAAAAAGATAGAGTGAAGAATGTGTAGATGAGTGAGGCAGAGGGAGAGAGAAAGGAGAAGAAGAGACATTTGACACTCGGAGGCGATTTTCTGATTTTATCCAGGGGAGTGCAGTTTGCGGCTGTTGTGTGAGAAAGTCAGCTACGTGTACATATTCGGGCTCTCTACCTGTTTATATTTGCCAGAGTTGGAGGTGATATTAAAAAGTTATAACAAATTTTGTATAAATTAATTTTTACAGAAAGAAAATTTGATACAATTTGCGTTATTTTCTGTTTTTATATATTATATATAATATATTTATATTATAAATATATATATATATACATACATACATAAATTATATATTTTTTATTTTATAATTATATTTATTTTTTGTTTTATTTTTTAGTTAAAAGTTTCTCTAAAATTAATTAATTAAAGATATAAGTATAAATATAACTTTTAAACTTAGGTAATAAAAATTAGAGAAAATAAGAGAAAAAAAATAATTTGAAATTAGTTAAATTTAGAAAAATAAATCCCTCCGTCTGGTAAAGTTGCCTGTCCGTTGCTTCTATGTTTTCCGTTATTGTCCTTTGGAAGCTACGCCAATTGGAAATAAATACTGAATAATTTTATTTTATAGTATATCAATTTAATTTAAAAATTATGGTTTAATTTTAAATTATATTCATTCGAAGTATATCATTTTCTATAAAATGTTAATATTAAAATATCAATAATTTTCATTAAGTATATTAATTTGTGATCAATTTTTTTTTATTATGTTTGTGTGTTACTTCTTATATAATATTTTACATTTCATCTAATTGGTGTCGTTTTTCTGTGTATTCATTTATGTCCCATGGCAGAACACCCTAACTTGAAACATATAGCAAACCGATGGCTAATACTAAATTTTGTTATAAGCTTTTTGGTTAAGGTCAGTATTTAATTACGGTGTTGTAATTAAAAAAAATTAATATCTTTGGCTTCACTAATCATATTATGTGGTAAAATTCGTGATTTATAATAATATATATATATAATAATTGATTAACAAAAGTTAATTTAATTGAAATTTTAATATCAATTCTTAATATATATGATTATAAATATTTTTATTTTTTATTTTAATTATAATTTTTTAATTATACTTTTTAATTAATTAAACTATCCGAATTTAAATAATTGAATATTATTATTATTATAAACTTTAATAAAAAATTGTTTGTAATATGGATTATAGTATAAACAAGATTGAAAAAGTTTTATATATGATATAATCGTAAAAATTATTTGTATTTATTTATTTTTATACTTTCAAAATAATAGTGACAATAATATAAGATTTTAAATTAATGAAACTTATATGTTTTAAGTAAATATTTTTAAACGTAAAAGGGTGTTATTGTCAAGAAACGATTGTATAATAATCTCGGAGGATGCAGCGCGAGCTCTCACGCCTCATGTTCCAATAACACACGCTTACCATTTGTCTCCGATGTGTGCGCGCTAATAAACGCGCGATATCGTTGTATGCACGACACTAGTAATGGGATCACATTTTATTTGTTCTTTTTTTTTATAAAATAAACAAATTTTAATTCATATTATATTATATTAGAAGATAATTATGAATTGAGGAAGATTTATTTTTGTAATAAAGTATTATTTTAAGGTTATTTTAAGGTTAAAGTTATAAAAAAATTTTGAACTGTATTATTTATCATCAAAACTTAAAATTTAATTAAAATTATTAAGATATCAAATTATATTATTAAGATTTCAAATTATATTTATTTAATTAAAAGTTTATATATCTGAAATAGAGAATGATATAAATATGTAAATATTAAGATGTTATTAGATTCAATAAAATATTTTTGTCATTCTAGAGAGATTTTTATCATTTTTATTATTTTTATTTTATTTTAGAATATTTATCTAATCAAAATATAAGGAATTATAAAGAAAAAAATGTTTTCAAATTATATTATATAAAAGATTATATATATAGTAATAGTTTATTTGAAATTTTAAAAATAATCCCATTGCTAAATTCGGTAGAGCATATAATAGTCGTGCGGCTAGGGTTTCTTAGCTGGTTGTTGCTGTCCGGTGGTGGCTGGCAAATCGGAGACCCCACCCATAAATCCATTCAATAAAACAAAACAAGAGAATTAATTCCCTTCTCCGTGCTGCCTCTACCGGGTTAGAGCAAGTTGTGTGTGTGTTGCAGCTGACCTACGCAAACTGCACTCGCTGGACCCACGCCCCTGTCCTGTCTGCAACCGCATGTACAGTAACTTGTCGAACCTGCGTCAGCACATGCGCCTGATCCACAACCCTCAGAGTGTCACATGCCCCCTCTGTAACAAGCCATTCAAGACCAAGCTCTACCTGAAGCGCCACCTGGTCAGTTTCCATGAGCTCAGCGTGGCAGACAGGCATCGCCAGGAAGAAATCTACCAACAACAACAACAACCTAAAGCGCAACAACAAGCTGGAGCGCAAACTCATCTACAAATCCAGGCACAACAAACAGATGTTAAACCTTTTCCTGTGCCTAGAGTTTCTATGGAAGAGGGTACAGCTACAGTAACTCTGGAAAACAAATCAAGAGTATTCCAAGATGGTGCTTATGAGGTCAATCAGACCAATGCCGAATCAAAGCACTTTCAGAGCAGTATCATGCAATTTGATACTGCATACCACTAATGCGCCTTAGTTTCTTCGGCCCATTTGTGATAGTTTTTTGGTTGAGTAGGCTTAAAGCCAGTATTTCCTGGCAACGATAATCTCCAGATGGAGTTTAATATAGTCTTTCGAAAGAAGACCAAGGTGCAGTGAAAAGATTAAGAGTTTGTGCTGTGATACGAAGAGCAATTTATAATAATCGAGAATTTTATAGAATTTTTCACATTGAAAATTTTTCATGATACTAACTATTTTTTAAGAGTTTTTTCAAATTTAGAAATTGTTTCTATTTCTAATAAGCATTTAAAATAAGCATATTTTTGCTTTAATTTATTTTACACAAAAATTTAATTCAAAAGTTGTAAATATTATGTTTATTCAAAGTAGATATAGTATATTAATAGATAATCAAGTCTTTAGAGTAGAATATAAAAGCATATAATTTAAGCAATTTTAATAGATAGAATGAAATTTATTATTGAAAGATGATAAAGTTTTTTTAAATTTGAGCTGTTCTTATTATTTGTATTATTATTACATTTATAATATTATCTTATTTCTTATTATTTATATTGTATTAGTTGTATTTAGATATATGAAGATAATAGATTAAAAAGTGCAGCTATTATTTTATGCATAATGATAATGTGCAATGAGTATTTTTTAAATAGTATATCAATAAATTAATATGTAATATTTATATTGCATATAAAATAATTGCGACAGTATTAAAAGATATAAAATTTTTATGTTTTGAATAATATTTATATTTATCAAAATATAAATATTATTTTTATTTTTTAAAAAATATATGCATTTAAAATATACGTTATAATATATTTATAGTATTTTTATGGTTTAAATGTTAACAAAAATTTGAATCAACAACTAAAATTTTATTTTGGGAAAAATTGATATTCTACATATAAGAGCTGCATTCCTAGTTTGTTCAGTAGTTCCTAATATCTTTTTATAATTTTACATTTCAATTTTCGTTATAAAACGAAACACAAGACTTTTTTTGGTTAAGAATAACAACATATGTAATTAATATTAATAATATCATTATATTAATGATATTATTAATAATAAATGAATATTAAGGTTAATATTTAGTAATTAAAATAAAAATTTATAAGCAAAATATGTAAATTTTACTCTAAAGACTTTTAACGAAGCGATGCTAAGATTATTTTTGTGCTCGTGTCTTCATAGCACAATTTACTCGATAAAATAATCTTTTCACAGTGACTTAAAATAACTAATGAAACAATAGTCCTTAAAGGACATAACTCGCAAAAGGTGCCGTGCCTATTCGTCGTAAGGTAAAGCGAGAATATTCCTTAAACAAAAGAAGAAACAAGAGAGAAATTACAAATAATCGCCGCAAGTGGAACAGCCATCCCACCTCGTACTGATTATTCCGCGAGCCAGGATAACTTGTTGTTTTATTTGATGCTATACAGTGTTATACAGACTACAGATATTTACAACGATATTATATTCTTACAGAGGATTATATTTACTTTATTGATTGCGTCACACGACTGGGTGACACGCACAGAAACTCCCAGGATGACGTACGAACATATTATAATATATTTTTCACCGCGTAGCAGTTTAACGGTGCAATAGACAGCCAACCGATTTTACAGCTCAAGCAGATTTACAGAGGATTTATTATTGACAGTTATCGATGGGAAACCACCGTGATGCAGCAGATTGAATTTAATATATTATAAGAGGCCTGTGTCCGAGATGGCTTTTTCTTGCAAATTTTTTTTTATAATACGCTCTAACGTGATATTATAGAGCTAAATTTATCACTTTTCTCTATATTTTTTTTATGAAAAATAATTAATTTTTTCAATTTCTTTTTCTCTTTATACGTAATTTTTTCTAATCAAGAAATATTTGATTTCATGTTAAATTACGATATTAATTTATTAAATGACAGTATTATTCTATTTTTTTAATTTTATTTTAACGAATATATATATATTCGAAATTTTAAAATATTATATTCTCGTAAAATATCATTAATAATTTATTATTTTATAAATATAATTATAATTTTTTTTTCTTTTACAATTTTTGAAAAGTAAATTAATTTTTCCTTCTTTTATCAACGTTTTAGCATATAACGATGTTTTATAATTACAACAGTTTTTAAGGTATATTTTTAATAAATTTATATTTTATTTTTTATCGCATTAAGTAAGTTTTCTTTTAAATATAACTTTTTAAAATACGAACATGTTTCTACTTTTCACGTTATTATTTTAAGTTATCGATTACAATAAAAGCTACATATGTATATATATATATAACTGCACCTATATAATTTAATTTTATCAGTATCTCAAAATACATATAATCGTGATAATATATAAAAAATATTTTATATTTTACTTCGTAGTCGCTCGATATTATTTTTTTTTTTTTTTTTTTTTTTTTTTTTTGCAAAACTTACATTTCGTACTTGAATCTTTTTAAAGAGAAAAGAGAAAAGACAAAGAACCATCTCGGACATCGCCGAACTCCATAGCCATAGTACCACACAGTACAACTCAGGATCTTTTATATTATATTTTACAGATGACAATAGTTCCGTGACCGCGATGTCCTCGACAAATTTTTCGCTATGTATTTTACGTCAGAGTCTAAAATTTTCAATAATTTGATAATTATTCATATTTTCGTTTCGATAAAAATTTTAATTTCATTTATTATTCAACTTTTCCTACTATCCTTCGATTCATTCAAATATTTTTTTTTTTTTTTTTTTTATAATTTATAATTTCAATGATCAAATGATCGTTTCTTCTTCTTTTTTTCTACTTATATTTCTCTTTATGAAATTCAAAAAATTTTACTATCTTCTATTATATATTCTATTATATATTTTTCTTTCGATCAATTTCGTTGAATAATTATAAAATTATTGGAAATTTAACTCATAGACTCCGAGTTGAAAGAAAGTCGAAATATTTCTCGAGTTGATCGCGCCATTCACACAGGCTCCTTACCTCACGATTTACAATCAAATCACAGATGCAGCTATATATTATTATAATAAGTATATTTACATACCGTTTTACAATAGTGCCGGATCGCAACGACTGCGACGAATCAAATTTTTGAAAAAAAAAAAAANAAAACGCCAGACTCATTAACCACAATTAAAGAGATGGAAAAAAAAAAAGAAAAGAAAAGAAAAGAAACAAACAAACAAACAAACAAACAAACAAACAAACAAACAATTGATTCCAATTTTTTTTTCATCTCGTATGTGGACGGGGTTTTTCTTTTTCTTATTGTTACGCACTTTTTCCGAAGGTTTTTCTATTCGTTTTTTAACGCGTGGAATAGAGAGCTTCGTGCCCAGCGCATAGTTTATAACTGACTCTAAGATTAGAATATAAATGTTGCATATCATGTTATTAAGATTGTTGTACAGACAGCCTGTTGCAAACCTCGGTCTATGGTTCCTCTCTTAATACTATTTCTTTCTTTCTTTCTTTTCTTATTCTTCTAATCCTCGCACGATTAATTTTTTTTTTTTTTTTATCAAAATTTTTTTACCATTACTCTAAATTTTTCTAATATTTCCTATAAATCGCGTAAATTTTAAAAAAAAAAAAAAAAAAAAAAAATATTTTTACAAAATATTAATTCGAAAAAAATTTTCGAAGATATTTCTTTAATAACGAAATTTTTTGTTTACGTTCCATCGATTGATGCTGATATACGCTTTCCACGCTTATCAACCATGGATCGATCGATTTTTTTAAATCTTAAAATTCTATTTCTAATTACGAACGACGTTTCGATCATTCAAATTTTTCGATAGTACACGCGATAAGATAAAAAAATTTGTTTCGAGTTAATTATTTAAAAAAACGATATACATTGTTCTCTTTAAATACGTGGATTATAATTATTTTATTTGTTTATCGTAAAAATAACGGATCGATTGGCTCCCTAGACCGAGAATCATGTTCATATACATATATCATACACACACACACACGTAAAGCACATAGCCAGAATCAAACAGCGAGCCATAAAGTTAGAGATTACATTAGAAAGAGTTAAAGAAGCTCAACAGATAATCGATAATGATTGGAAACAAAAGGAAACGATACGATACAGACAATTACAGGGAATTCATTTTTTCTAACTCGCAATCTAATTCGCTGGGCATTAAAAGTGATATGATATGATCAGCCTATTAGTTGATTGATTAATTGATTAATTGATTGATTGATTGATTGATTGAAACATTCCAAGATGATGCAGTTTTTCCATTTTTCCAACCCAAACCGCCGAATAATCAATAACCGATAATTAATAACAACAAAAGTGTAACAAAATTCAGAAAAATTCAATTATCTCAAGAAACGTCTAAAGTCTGGAGAAAGCACCTTTTCGCAAAGAATTTATTCCCTGACTGTTTTTTTTTTTTTTTTTTTTTTTTCTTTCTTTCTTTTTATGTATATATATATATAAACGTTTCCTTTAATCGGTGGGCGATTTGAAAATTGGAAAGTTGAAACGCTTGTTCGAGTTTAAGGAGTGAATATATAACGAGAAATCTAAAGATGGAGGGATATCGAGGCGCGAATTAAAAAAGTATTTTTGAAATTTGGGAAGAGGAAATTTTTCGGAAATTTTAGAAATTTCAACAAAATTTTTAAACGAAAGTTAAAAGGCAAAGAGAAGAAAAAAGGGGGGAAAAAAAAAATTATTCGGATAATTCCAGAAAATTCTTAAAAAATTGTGATAATTTTGTACAATTTCGAATATATATATATATATATATATATACAGGTTTCAATTCGAAACTGTGTGTGAACTTTCTGATTTTCGATTCAACGGTATATATTTTCTTTTTCAAGTCGAAGAAACGAAACGAAAAGAGAAGAAGAAGAAAAAAAAAAAAAAAAGAAAAACGTATAAAGCAAAGATTCGACGAGTAGCTACGGATATTATAACATTCCCGTTTATTCGTTAATCGATTCGTTTTATTTGTATATTTTTTTACTACTATTATTACTACTACTTATATTATTATTATTATTATTTATTCGGAAACGTAATAATTGTATCTCGAAATGTGTCGAGATAAGTTGTTGAAACGAATTTTTCGACTCGTAACTTTTACTTTCTTTCTTCACTCATCCGAATTTTCTTTTCTTTTCGAGGAAAGTGCATTTGCTTAATTATTGTACATATTGTAAATTACAAATGATTC